ACAGTAGAGAGAATTGAAAGAAGAAATGAATGGAATTACAGAACTGGAATTAAAGGAAAGAAAGAAGCGCACACATTGAAAAGAAAACCCATAGACAAAAATGCTCCAAACGTCAGAAACTAGAAAAACTGAAAAAACTAAATTAAACTGAAAAATATGGTGTGGTGTTCTGTGTCTGAGCTGTTCTATTGATAGAACTAAGAGTAATTGAGTACTTTCAGACTTCCTAACTAAGCTATCTGAACTAACTAGACTGCCAAAGGAAGTTATAAATCTGTCCTTACAAGAAGAGAATCTAAAACAATGCCGAAACAGTGTTGTCTCTTCTCTGCTGCAACTTTTCGGAAATAATTGCAATCAGCTCAATCATCTAAAATTCATGTTCTTGTATTCTAATTAAAGCTTTTTGAGTCAGGATTCTAATGAAACAAATTTCAGCTCAATCTGATTTCTGAGGAAAAAGTTATCAACCAAACAATCAGTAAAGGTCAAAGCTACAGAAATGCACTTTTATTTTTATTCAGAAAAAAATTCTATCTAATAAGCACATATTAACACATTGGAAAAAAAGCATTTTATCTAAGAAAAATCAAATCTAATCCAAAATAAGAACAAAAGAAACATCAAGGAAACAATTAGTCTAGAAAAATATTAATAAATAGAGACTCATCATACTCCACACTTAGACTTTCCCACTCTCGACAAACAAACAATGAAAAACTTATACAAACTTTTATAGAATTAGAAGCAGAGTACAAAAAACTATCCAAACTGAAAACAATAAATAAATCGAAAAAGTGAGCACTACAAATGTAATCTTTGTGAAAACAGTGAAAGCTAAAAGTAAAGAACCATGAAAAGTTGTGAAAACTGAGAAAACAGTGAGCAGAGAGAAAATTTTCATCCATCCAAAGTTTAAAGAGCTCAAACCAGTCAAAAACATGTTTCAAACATCAAAGTCTCACTCAAATCACACCATGGATCAAAAATGATAATCTCTCCGGGAAATGTATCACTCATTCTCTCAAGTGTTTAAGGGTTAGTGTTTTACACTCAGCACCATCATAATACAAACATTACCATTGTTAGGTTGTGAGTTGAAGCCTAACTTCTCACAAAAACACCCACCACACAAGACACAAACCAGAGAGAACAAATGAAAGTATGAATTCACTGCACAATAAAGGAATTAACCATGACGAATCGGAGCCTAATACCATCTCACAAGGTCCCCAAGACCTGTTATTATACAATGCAAAAGCTCTACTCCTCAACAGAATTCTAGAAGGGTTATTTACTCCTCTTCCTCCAATAACCTAACAAATTTCCCGTCCTTTTTTCATTTCCTCTACCGTTAGGTATTCGACCCAAAACCGTTCGGACCTTGACTCCTTCCTCCCTTATAGCCACCGTTCGGTACTAGTGTAGATACCGTTCGGACCCCTCATTCCCTTACCCTTCGGTACTGTTCTTCCTCCTTTTATAAACTTTCCAACTCCTGACAATATGCTTGAAAAGCCTCTAATTTTCACCACTTGAAAAAAGTACAACTCAAGATCAAAAGCACTTATATGACTTGTAATGTGGTCAAGGTCAAGGTAGGATATAAGAAAGGATCAAAGGCTACAACCAGAGAGAAGCGAGGAAACGATAAGGAAAAGATTGGAAGTATAAGTGCAAGGTTCTCTTTCAATCAAGAATTATCAATCATCCAACACTTCACTCTTTTCTTTCACCTTTTATTTTTCAATTTTCTTTCTTCCTTTTCTGTTTTTCTCTTTTCAAATTCAGCACAGACCACAAATATATTCATATTTTCACATTTTTCTCTTTTTCATTCTTTCATACTACTTTCCAAACTCTTTCAATGCATCATAAAATTCCAAACTGATTCAGCAACATTTGCACACACTTTGAACTTCACAATAATTTCCAAAAAAACAATCCAAAGCCCCTCACAACTCAAAGGTTGGGTCAAATATAATTTTTCAGGTCCAAGGCTTGTAATAAACTAAAATCATCAACAACCTTTGTTACGTATCCGAGTCGGAGACATAAATTAAACACGTTCACAGTAGTAGAAAAAGACAATGACGTGAATGATAATGAACGAATGAATTCTTTTATTGATGGTAATATCTAAATAAACAAAAGTAAACGGGTAATTGGGAAGCATAAACCTCCTTCAATTACTTGGGAGCATATCCTCCTCACAGGAGCATAGCCGTCCTGTCGACAAAACTCAATAATCAAAAGTTTGCCCTAAACAATAACACTAGCTTTATTTATATTTAATATTTCCTAGAATATAATTCTATTTACTAAATTAAATTATACTGAATATTTCCACTAGGATATAGTTCTTATTTACTATAATAACTTATACTGAATATTTCCATAGGATTATAATTCTATTTACTTAATTAATGTTTACTGAATTATTCCTAGGATATGCTCTATTTTACTCATAAATTCCACGCTCATCCTAACTGTTTTCCGCAGTGAGGAGAGTCACTGCTTCAATCAATCGGTTCCAGGCTCTTCACCGCCTTCGTTCGGCTTTGCTTCCCCCTGCATCCTAACCGTTTGGCTCCAAATCTTCACCACCTTCACCGTTCGGCTTGCTTCCACCCTGCCCTATGTTGGCTCCAACTCTTCATCACCTTTCACCGTTCGGCTTGCTTCCCTTTGCCTCCTACCGTTCGGCTCCCCTACCTCCTACCATTCGGCTCCCCTGCCTTCTATCCTATCACCCAGTATCCTATCAAGCTTTGTAACAAAAACGGCCTAGATCATCTCAAGAGTATATCTTAAAACAAGTAGTATAAAAAAAAAAGAGTCAATGCAAGTCCTGGACACTTATAAAACATGGAGTGAATCACACAAGAAAGAAATAAACTCAAAGTCTCACAAGATTAACTGTTATTCAAAACTGATCCACCGTCCAATATTTCATGAAAAACTGCCTAAATTCAATGAATCAACATGTCAATCAAGTTTAAGACCTCTAAAAAAGAATGATGAATAACAGCTTTTTATTCAATGAAAAAATATGAAAACTGAAAAACTATCAAAACAGTTCAGAAAAAAAAATATCAGAACAGCAAAAGGAACTAGCTCTAAAACAGACATACTAAAAAAATTCAGTGAAAGAAAAAAACTGGTTTTAAATAAAAAAAAAAACAGCAGCTACTAAAAAACACAGCACAAACCAAATGTTTAAACTAAACAAAAACAGCTGAACAAATTGAAAAACAGCAAAGGCAAAGCAAATTACAACTGCAGCTGTTGGAATAGAAAACAGAAACAGAAACCTAGAAGAACTAAAACAGAAAACAGAATCAGTATTCTTAAAACAGCAAATAGCAAAAAACAGTAGAGTTTAAAAGCAACAAACTAAAACTCCCAAGAAAAACCAGAAAATACAATGAATGAAATCAGAAACAACAAACAGGAAACCAAAATGAGTTCAAATCTAAAATGAAAATCAGAGAATAACTATCAATCAGCAAATTGAAATAAAACTCACCCACAACTTGAGCCAAACATGGTCTCAATGGATAAGAGTAAAAAGAAACAGAAAAAACAGCAAAAACAAAGATGTTTTCCATTGTGCTGACTGAATCAAATCCCTCTGCTGCTCTCCTCTCCACACACAGGTTTCATGAATGTTGTCATCTAAAATCCCAAAACATGTCGCGACAGATCACCTGAAGGTTTTTTGGAGCTGGAAACTCTCTTTAATTTCCATTGACCATGAGGAGTAACATTTGGCTGAGAACAGCATCATACTGATGAAAACTGCAGGCATTGAACATGATGAAACAGATTGAAACAGCAAAATGAACCGTGCAATGAAAAATAACTAGCTATATGCAATGCATGGAAAAAAAAATTATGCGATTTTTATATGAAGTCTAATGTAATGTCCTATGAATCTTAGTATGAAAGAGGATGCAAAATATGTACTCACAAAATTATACAGCACAAACAAATGAATATAGTAGAAAAGAATGACTGAAAACACATAAATGGAAGTTCTACATATAAAAAGTATAAAAGAAGATCTAAAATATTTAAAAGCATGAAAAATCTCTATTTAATGTATAAAACACCATAAAAGGTTTTAGAATTTTCTGAATAGTATAGGTAAGTGAAACAAATCTCTGAAATATAGTAAAATGGGGCAAAAATACTAAGAAAATAGAAAAGATATAGTAGATGGTGGAATTTTGAAATTTGGGGACCCCAACATGGCCAGCCGAAGTTGAAACACAGTTTCCATAACTTTACAGTTCAACACATCATAATTCGTGGTCCATAGCAAATGTTATGATTATTCAAGCTTTTTCACCACCAAAATTTTTCAAAACAGAATCTATGACTAATATATGCAATGTAAAGATGTACAACAAAACACACTAATAAAAATGTTAGCACAAAAAATTTGGACTAAAAAATTAATTTCTACCTATTTTTAGTGAATTTTTCAAAATCAGTACTAGTAATCAAAACTGATATGGGCTAAAGCTAAAGGAGAGGGAAAGCGGAAATGATTTTGTGGATGGGCAGAAACTGGACAGTGGAGACCTGGACTGAAATTAAAATGCAAACAGTGACTGGCAGCAGAAACAAAATGCAATGCATTTAAGTTGGACAGAAACTAGAAACAACAATTGAGAGTGAATGCAGTCAATGGCCAGGCACAGTAGAAACCAAAAGGCAGTGATAAACTAAAATGCAGTTAAAGAAAAACTAAAATGCAGTGACTGAAACTGTGAAACAACAAATGAGAATGAATTATACTAATTCCTAATTCAAGACAAACAAAAATCAAATCACATCAGGTCTGGAAACAAAAATAAGAAAACACGAAAATTCAAGAACAAGAGAATATCAGAACTCAAGTCTAAAAACAGCAACAGATATGGCCTAAAAGCTACAAACTAGTACTAACTCTGAAAAATAACAAAACCAGCAAATGTAAACTAAAGAAAAAACTTAATTGAGCTAAACTAATGAATAGGAAAGAAAACTAGACTAAACTAAATTCTATCTAATAAGCTCATATTAACACATATTTGGAATAACAGCATTTTATTTTTGAAAAACCAAATCTAATCTAAAATAAGAAAATAAAAACAAAAGAAACCTCACGGAAACACAATTAGTCTAGAAAAATATTAACAAATGGAAATTCATCAGTCACCAGTAATCACCACATGAACAAAACCCTTCTTTAAAGTGATGAAAACGGTTAGAATCCCTCACAATAATGTCCCTTTCAGTAATTTTGGATATGTACTTGGTAGCATTGTGGCAATCACCACAAACACGCAAGTTTTTAAATATCCTAATGGGATATTTTGGTGGGGTGCTGATAAGTCCAAATGCAATGGCCAGCCTCTCACTGTGACTTATCAAAATCTGCTCTTTCTCATCCTCCTCAACGTCTTGTAGGACAAAACTATAGTCTGGAACATAACCAAGGCTTTTCATTTTGGCATTCAAAACCCTTAATTCCTTGTATATCTCTGTACATTGTGGATGAGTTTGGTTCCCTGCATAAAAAACTTCAACTACACTACCTACTACAACAGAACTCCATCCAGGAGTCTTCTTCAATCCTCTATCTTTGGCTAAGGATCTTACTTTAACTGCTCCTTCCCATTTTCCAACATTTGCATAGATATTTGACAGCAAAACATAATAGCCAACATTCTCTGAATCAACTTCCAACAAGCGATCTAAAGCTAAAGTACCCAATTCTGCATTTCCATGTATTCTACAAGCAGAAAGGAGAGTACCCCAAATGGATGCATCTGCTTGTATGGGCATATTGTTTACTAAATTATGTGCCTTCTCCAAATACCCAGCTCTGCCAAATAAATCCACCATGCAGCCATAATGTTTCAAATTGGGCTTTACCCCATAATCTTTCTGCATCAATTCGAAGCACCATTGACCCTCATCAACTAAACCTGAATGGCTACAAGCCGACAACAACGATACAAAAGTAATATGGTCAGCCTTTACCCCGTCAGCTTGCATATCCTTGAAAAGTTGCACAGCTTCTTTTCCATGCCCTTGAATCCCGAGAGAAGATATTATTGCATTCCAAGGGACTGAAGTTTCCCGAGGGATTTCATAGAATAGGGACATTGCATCCTCTAACTTCCCACATTCCCCATACATGTCAATCAGGCAGGTAGCCACAAAGACATCCAAGTAGAGAGAGTTCTTGATTAGCCTCCCATGTATTTTCATTCCTTGTTGCAAAGCTCCAATATGGGAATATGCTGGGAGAATGCTCACCCATGTTCCTTGGTTGGGGATTATCGTTCTACATTCTCCCATCATGTTGTAAGCATCAATTGCCTCACTTGCAAGACCATTTTGAGCATAACCTGTGATCAAAGTGTTCCATGAAATTACATCTCTTCTAGGAAGCTGTTCGAAAACTGCACGTGCACAATCTATCAAACCCAATTTGGCATACATATTCACAAGAGCATTACCTATAACAACATCTTCCTCAAGCCAACCACGCCTCATAACAAATCCATGAACAGCCCTGCCAATCCTCCGATCACTTAACTGAACAAAAATTGAGATCAAACTCACAACTGTCAACAAATCAGGTCCCATTCCCACAAACTGCATCCCTTTAAATAAACGAAGTGCAGTATCTGGATCGTCATTCTGCTCATATGCAGCTATTATAGAATTCCAAGACACCACATCTCTCACCTTCATGCCATCAAAAACCCTCTGTGCATCCTGCAGCCTACCAAACTTCGAATACATATTAATCAAAGCATTGCAAACAAAAAGATCACTTTCCAACCCATGCTTTATCACGTACAGATGAACCAACATCCCACAAACAACATCATTCGCTTGCGCACAAACAGGAAGCACACTTGCCACCGTAACTGTATCCATCTTTACCCCTTCAACCTTCATCCTACCTAAAACACCCAACGCGCTGGTTGCTTTCCCATTCTGAAGAAACCCCGAAATCATCGCGTTCCAAGACCCAACATCTCGGACGGGCATATCATCAAACACCTTGTGGGCAACATCCACAGCACTGAACCTTGAATACAGATGGATCAAGGAAGCAGCCACATACACATCATGCTCAAAACCCATCTTCAAAACCCAACAATGCATCTTCTCCCCATCAACCACACTCACGCACGCCTTCAACACAGGGGGGAAAGTGTAAAAGTCAGGTCTTACACCCGAATTAGATAACAACTCACTGACACAGTTCATAGCATCACGGTATTTCCCGCACTTAACAAACGCAGCCACCATAGAGTTCCATGTGAAAATGTTCTTCCTCTGAATGTACTGAAAAGTGTTGCGAGACAATGAGAGGTCCCCAAGAGTGGCATACAAAGTAACAAGCCGAGTGAACAAAACGACATTTTGAGCCTTACCCAACACCGTAAAAAGCGCGTGAAGCTGCCTGGCAGTACCAATGTCGGTGCAAGAATGGAATACAAAGTTGGTCTTGTTCTCATGGTCATGTGATACCTGTTGGAAAGAACCTGTAACTGATGAAAAAATGTGGTGAATCCAGCGTTGCAATGGGAACACCGTGGAAATTGGCCTCAAATTGCGAGGTGGCAACGATTTGCGAAGAGAAAGCATAGAACATTGGTGTTATTCACTGCGCAAATGCTTAGTGTTCACCTACAGTTGTACGGACAAAATGGCAACACCCATATATCTTTTTCTTTTACCATATCACAACCATTTGGTTTGGATATTAAAGAATTCCGTAAATTCATAATATTTTTAAGAAATTACGTGAGTTGTGATTGGGACGAAGAGTAATCACTTTTTAAGCACAGATTTAGATGTGACTAATAATAGGACTGTTGTAATAATGATATTTGTTAATCTTTAAAAATAATGAAATTAAGTATTTTAACGTTAAAATAATTTAATAATATAAATACAACATGATTTTTAATCTTAATCATTTTTTTATAATTTTTTCTTTGACTTCCATTTTTTTTATCTTAGATTTTTTACTCACTCATCTGTTTAACTGTTAGGAGATACTTAAAACAATGCATTTTCTGTCATTTACCGATCAGTTTTTCTTGTAGAATAAGTAAGTTTCAATTCATTTTTTCTTTAACTCTTAGTTTAAAGCCATGCATAGAAGTTTTTCGCATGTGTCATTTGATTTCTTTTTCTAGCTCTTCGTCGATCAGAGGTCCTAAAAACTTACTCTGATCATGATTCTGTGATTTGTAGGTATTTTTAGAGTTTCTTGAGTTGAGACACAGGTAGTACATTATATAGAGTTGTATTGTAGCATTCTTCTTTAGGTAAGAGAATCTAATGTTTTTCTTTTAATTGAATTATGAAGTATAAATTGATAATTATTGGTGTGTGTAGTTATTGTATGTTGAATTATTATGCCCGAAATGATAGTTAATGTAAATTGTTCTTGGATGAGCAGGTTTAGCCACATGATGATTGTTGACATTGAATGATTCTATGTTAGACTTAATTTGTATGATGAATGTTGTTGTTGTGAAGTTTGTTGATGTCAAATTGGTTATAATGTTGAGAAGAAGTGGACTAGGCTGAGTTATAAGTCATTTTGGTCAAAAATGGAGATTTTGATAAGTATATTTTAGAAGTAAGAGACTAAGGGGAGAAACAACAATCTAGGACATATTGTAGGGTTATTTGAAACTTGTTGGCACCTTGAGTTAATAGAAATTTGATATGGAAATATGTATGAGTCAATAGGGTGGTTTAGGAAGGTTTTAAGCTCAATTTAGATGTTTTTGCTAGTGAGATTCTAATGTAGTAGGTGTGGGCTGAAGTACTGAGTTTGAGTCTACGGTTAGATCATTTCTGACTGTTTTGGACCCTTAAGATGTTAATCTTTGCATGAGAAAAGGTGAAAGTGAGTTTAGGTAAGTTAGAGTAGACAAGTTGGTGTAGGGTATACATTTTAAGCTAAAAGCTTGTTTCTAAAGCATTCTTAATGTTTAGGATATCATACTAACCAATTTGGTAGGTATAAAGAGTAACGAAGGCTAGAAAATAGGGGTTTATAATGTTCTGGTGTGGCGCTCAACGACACTTACGGGGCTTGAGCAATAGATTTGCGAGAGGTTTTGTGCCTAAAGGGGGTGGCACTCAAGTGCCAGAAATGCGAGAGGAATGGTGCTCAGTTACGGGAGGTTTCTCTCAGCGTCAATATATATAGTGTGTACTCTTTGTTTTCTTCTTCTTTGACTTTTTTTATTTCATTTAAGAATTGGTGAGTATCTTATGACATGCTTTAGTATGTTTTATCGAAGGGTTTTGAATGAGGTTGATGTATATATCAAGGTGTGATTGAATAAGAGTTTCTAAAGAGAAATTCTAAGTGGTTGTATCAAGTATTTTTTGTATGAATATAGGAAGTTCAGTCTTTGGGATTAACTTGACACTGTAATAGTCATTCATTCTTAATTAGAGATGAGTGATACTTGTGGTGAGAGTAGCAGGAGGTCCTAATTTAGGCGTTTGTGGTAGGGTGAAACCCATTGGTAATGGCTCTACAGAGCAATAGAGACCACCACAAACGCATGACCTGCTATAGTTCGACATTCATACTATATTTGGATGATCAGTTCTAGGTCCATGACTAGGGATGACAAAAAAATTCGTACTTGCGGATACCCGCTTGTAAAATCCATTACGGATATTTAGTATTCGCGGGTAAGAGGTACCCGCGGATAGCGAGTAGCAGGTAATTTAATACTCGCTTGTTAACGGGTCGGGTTCAGATATCACACTATCCGTACCCGCGGGTATCTGCTACTTGTTTGAAAAATAAAATTACAATTTTATCCATTAGGTTTTTTTTCTTCTAACTTTTCAATGAGGTTTTCTTTTCTGTTCAATCTGCTATAAAATTAGGCCAAAGCCCAAATACCTTTTTAGGGTTTCTTCTTGAAATCAGAATAAGGAAAAGGAAGCTACCCCATTCCTCACCGAGTTTGCTGCCTTCTACCGCTCCGACTCCGCGGATGGTGGAGTCGGAGGTTCCACAACGCCTTCGACCTCTACAATTGCGACAAAAACGAACTCATCTTAGCTGAGGAGCTCCACCTCGCGCTCAATCGCCTCGGCCTCAAGTGCTCTGTCGATGAATGTCGCGACATAATGAAGTCCGTCGACGGCGATGGCGACAAATTCATCAACTTTGAGGAGTTCAAGACGATGATGACGACCTCCAAGAACTACGGTGCCACCAATGGCTCCGTCCACTAGTCTCAGCCACCGATTCAAAATCCGAGGCGTCTCTACTGCCTACTTCGAGAGTACGATTTTTCTTTCTTTCCTCTTTTACTTTTTCTTCTTTGTATAATTACTGTTCTGGTGAATTGCTCTAGTGAAACATTAGACATAGATCGAATCCAAATCTGGTGGAACGATGTCCCATGAGCAACGAAGCTTCTCTCGCGCGGGAACGGGAGAACGAAGGAGCGAGCTGCTATGACCGGCGCAGGTGGCGTCATCGACGTTGGTCTCGACCGACCAGAGGAGGGCGTGACGTTGCTAGGTGGACGGAGGGCAGTCGACTACCTCGAGTGGAGGAGGAGACGATTACTCTATTTGAAGTGAATAACTAGGGTTTGTGAGTTATGATTCTGAATAAGAAAGGAGAATAAAGTCTTGGGCCAGAATTTGGGCTTGGTGAAAAATGGGTATCCAACGGGTATCCGTAGGTTGGAAAAAATCCGGAGGTTTTTTTCATGCAGGTAGGCACTATTCGTGTCCGACCCGACCCATTGTCATCCCTATCCATGACATGATTAGGATGATTAGTTTATTTTGTGTGAAATGTGATGTATAATGAAATCTTAAAATCCCATGTTTGATAATTTTTACATTAGCTTACCTCTTTTTGTGTTTTTCTTGCTTATTTGCTTGTGTATACTTAATTTTTTGTGTAATGATCATCTGATTAGTGTGAGTAGCAGGTGAGGACTTCTAGGTGTAAGAGGTGCAAGGAGATGATAGTCTATATGTATAATTGGAGCATGATAGTTTTGTATAGTTATTTTTTGAGNTGAATGTACTGAAAAGTGTTGCGAGACAATGAGAGATCCCCAAGAGTGGCATACAAAGTAACAAGCCGAGTGAACAAAACGACATTTTGAGCCTTACCCAACACCGTAAAAAGCGCGTGAAGCTGCCTGGCAGTACCAATGTCGGTGCAAGAATGGAATACAAAGTTGGTCTTGTTCTCATGGTCATGTGATACCTGTTGGAAAGAACCTGTAACTGATGAAAAAATGTGGTGAATCCAGCGTTTCAATGGGAACACCGTGGAAATTGGCCTCAAATTGCGAGGTGGCAACGATTTGCGAAGAGAAAGCATAGAACATTGGTGTTATTCACTGTGCAAATGCTTAGTGTTCACCTACAGTTGTACGGACAAAATGGCAACCATATATCTTTTTCTTTTTGGGTCCCCTGATTTTACAACTAAATTTTAACACACAACGTCATGTCTCACCAGGGCATTGATCGATTTTTTTTTCTTTTATTATGAAATTGTGACGTTGAAATTGACGAGGGTTTTAGAAATTTGAGATTCCAAATATATTCTTTATCCTGTTTTATTAGAAATTATCGTTTTTTTTTATTCTCGTTCACTATCTTTGTTCTAACTCTTCTTATTCGTTTTCGGTTTCCCTTTTCCTTGTGATTCTCGTTCTTCATTGTCGTTTTCCTTCTACGTTTTCGTTGCATCTCTTCGTTTTGGTCAACGTCGTCCTCTTTGTTGAGTGTATTGTGCGAAATGGCAAGTTCGGGTAACCATGGTCCTTCGACGAGCAAGGTAAATGCGTTCTTCCTCCACTTTGTTCATTGCGTTTTCGATTTGGATTTTGGGTTTTCCCTGTTCTGTTAAATTTTTTGTTGTTTTTGTTTTAGGGCTTTTATGTTTTGGTTATTTTGTTTGTTGTTGATGCAGTTGAGGGTTAGTCACTCATTTTCAACAAAGTATATTTCTACTTTCAATGAGCGTTTGACAGAGGAGCACCGGTCGCTGATTGCGGAGACTCCTTTTCGGTGGTTTTTAGATTTGAGTGGTAAAGTTAAAGTATGTAGGAATATTTTGAGTGAGTTATTGGTTAAATGGGTGGATTCCAGTAGTGGTTTTTTAATTGGAGATAAACTTGTGTCTATGAATGAGAAGGAATTTTGTTTAGGCTTGGGGTTGAGTTCAGATGGTCAAAATATTAACTTAAAGGAAGAAATGGGAAGAAGTACATGTGTGAAATACATAGGCAAAGGAACAAAATATTTGAATTTGGTATACAAATGTTTGATGAGAAAAAAATAAAAGAAAGATACCTTCTTCTCATTTTTGTAGCTTGTACATATTGGTATGGATATGTGAGATATTATTTCCACAACGTAGTGGAAGAGTGTTTCCCATAATGTTTGAAATTGTTGATAATTTAAGTGGTTTGGGTAATTATTGTTGGGGTAGTTTAGTGTATCATTATTTGGTACGTAGTTTGTGCAAAACTTCAGATGCTTTGAAGAAAGGAAAAGGTACACACAACGTTTATGTTGATGGTTGCGTTTATATGCTGCAGGTAATTTATATTTATTGATTTAAAATGTCAAATTTTTTTTGGGTTGTGGGTTGCATTGTGTTTTTGACTAAATGTTAAGATGGACATTTTTTTTAGGTATGGTTTTGTGAGAATTT